ATTTAAAAACAAACAAACAAACAAATTGTGAATTTTCATCATCCAGCTACAGCAACCATCAACATTCCCTATCTTTTTTCACTTATTTTCTCTTCCTTTTTTTGCTGATGTACATATTTGAAGGCAAATCTCAGACCTCATGTCATCATGTCATTTCAGCCCTACATATGTCAGTAGGCACCCCTAAAAAAGACATTTTCTTACATAACCTTAATACCATTATCACATCTAATAAAGTGAATAGTACTTCCCTGATTTTTTTAATACCCCAATTACCTCTTTAAAATGGTTTTATAAGATTGGGTTTTTCAAATCAGAATCCAAACAAGATTCACTTGGTTTTTGTGATTCTCAAGTTTCCTTTAAAATAAATACTTTTAAAATGTTTGTTCATACACTTCATTGTTGAAGATACTGGGTCAATTGCACCGAGACTGTCACAGCCTGAAATCGGCTAATGGCTTCTTCATGGCATCAGTAAACTTGTACCTCAACCCCCTTCCTGTAGGCTGAAGTTAGACCGAAAGGCATGATGAGATTCAGCGTCAACTATTTTTTTATATGTTTTGCTTTTTGGCAATAGTGCTTCATAGGGGTTGGTGTGTAGAGCACATTTTGTCCTATCAGGAGACACGTAATATCTGTTTGTCTCACTTGTAATCATGGTGAGATTCATCAGTGAGTTCAGATGGTGACGCACCTGATACTTCCATTATAAAGTTCTTCCTCAATGTTCTACCCAGTGGTTTTCCATCTACTTATGACCATTGCCAGAGGCAGTTATTAGGGAACTGTTCATTGTAATAGAAGAATGTTGTGAAAGTATGTAAAAGGAGATCTGACAGGGCAGAGTTCAGGTGGTTTTCCAAGATTAAACACAAATACATATGGGTTAAAAAATCAAAGAGGTGAGACAAAAATGTTTTTAAAATTCTCAAGCTGTGTTACAGAATTGTATACCTGAAACCTATGTAGCTTTACTAACCATTGTCACCCCAATAAACTTTAATTAGAAAAGATTCTGAAGCCATTGCTGGATCATCTGGGAACTAGTCTGGGATCCAACATCAGTTGAGTGGCCTTCAGGAAAGTCCATGTACATTGTGTTTTCTCATCTGTAAATTGGGGCACATGTTTTGGACACCCCCACAGATTCAGTATCCTATGCTCCTTTTAGACAAATGTGAGAAACTTGGAAAATGGTTTGGTACAGAGAGCTTTTAGGATTAAAAATGGCCTCCATTATTGGTTGTCATTCCATATAGATCTTTTCAATGCAAATTTCTATAACTACTTTATTCAACTAAAAATAAATAGAAGAAACATACAGGTGACAAAATCCAAATAGCATAGAAATATATAAAATAGGAAATAAAAGCCCTTTCATTTTTACCCCCTGCCAAACTTAACCAGACTGACAGATTTTTTTTCATTTTTTTAATTAAACTTTTTATTCTGAGATAACTGTAGATCACATGCAGTCATAAGAAATAATACAGAGAGCTGTTGTGTGCCCTTTACCTAGTTCCCCCAGTGATAACATCTTGCAAAACGATATTATAATATCACAACCAGGATATTGACATTGATACACAAAATATGGGACCTGAACTGATAGATTTTTAAATACCTTTTATCTTTTTCCTGTCAGTGATTCTTAGAGTTAGGCTATGAGAGTTAAGCTACCCGAGTGTCAGGATAAGGTCATGAGACTAGTGCTCCTCTATTGTTTTTCATTTGCATGCATCTGCCTTATTCAATAAATGATATATAAGTGTTTTCTCTCCTTAGCAGTTTTCTGTTTTACCTTTTGGAATATTTCTAGTTCTTCCCCACCCAACCCCCAGCTTTACTGAGATATAATTGATATTGTATAAATTTAGGTCTACAGCGTGTTGATTTGGTACATTTATGTAATATGAAATTACTACCGCCATAGCATTAGCTAACACCTCCATCACGTTGCCTAATTAACATTTCTTTTTTATGGTGAGAACACTTACGATCTAGTCTCTTAGAAACTTTCAATCCTAAACTATAGTATTGTGAACTCTATTTCTTTGAAATCATCAAAACTGTGGAAGAACAATAGGGTAAAAATTATTGATGTAGTTGATACCCTTGGAATAAATTTATCATATTACAGCTTGTTACAGAAAACTCCATAAATAGTCTACTTCCATAGGGAAGACTGAAATTATAACTTCTGATGACAGTTTGCTTTTTAATAAATTGGGATTCAGCAGTTCCTTTCAAGATTTTTGGTAGAACAAAGACTTATAGAATTTGATTTTGATAGTTAATGGAAAAGGGAAATATTTCTAAGGAGGCACAGATCCCCCACGCAAAGTAGTGATGGGAAGGTTAAGCCTTAAACCTGTTCATATTCTGCCGGTATCACTGCATGAAAGGAGTTTCCTCTTGGGCTTTAGAGTAGAAGTGATTGGAAAAAAAAAGTATAATGACAGCGTTGAATAAAAGTGACACCCTGGGATTTTCCTTTGTCATGAGGTCACTTAAATAAAATTTAGACTACAATAATCATTCACATATAATCACTCCTCATTTTATATTTAGCTGTGTTTTCTAGAAAAAGTTTTTGCTTGCTCTTATTAAAGCAGAATTTCACAGTGCTAAGAACAGAGGCATTTAAATGTTTCCCAGGCAATATCTTGGTGGCTTAGTTATGTGTATATTTATATGCACAATCATTTGTACACTAGGTATCCTAGTGTTGCTCAAAATTAATGCCTCCATGGTGGGGCAAGTCATAGAAAAGAGTGACCAGGAACTGATAGGGAGCTAGGGCATTTGTCTCTTTTAAAGGGGCAGCTACTTCATCACAAGCCCTGTGAGAATGCCTGCTGCTATAGTTGCCATGCCTTCCAGTTTTCAAGGGATACTGTAAATTGTATTCCTGTTATTAAAGCCTTTAAAAGCGGGCAAATAATTCAATTTTTAAATGAAAATCCAGTGCACTATGTGTTTCTGCATCATATGCCTCACTATTGTACAAATTTCATTTAATTCTCCACAATTTTGTACTGCCAGAGAGCCCAAGAAATATAGCTGTCATCTCAAACTTAACCAAACTTTTGCCCCCAAACCTGCGGGCTCTCTGGGCTTCCCTTTCTGTCTATATTAGCCTCAGTGTTCCAATCATTTCTGGAATCAAAATTTCAATGTTTGTTTCTCCTCTTGTCTTTCCCACTATAATTAGTGAAAATCTGCGTCTGTCGATTTTTTTCTTGTAAAATGTCCTGTTTTTCTTCCCCTCCCTTCCCATCCCAGCCACCCCATTCCTAGCCTTCATACTACTCTGACCTAGATTCTCCCTGCATTCTACTTCCTGTCATTATCTAACCAGCTTGAGCCTCTTTTTCAAATATCTCTTTCATTATCTCCCTTCTCTAAAACTTCTATGGGTCCCTGTTGCCTACCATATAAATTCCACAACTTCTTCTGTCTAGATCTCCTTGTTTCATAGT